CCTAAGTCTTCCCTCTTCCAGCTTAAAGCCACCACCTGTAAGTTACTCCATGATGAGCTCAGAGCAGCAGAATCCTCTCCCTGACCTGCTGATGATGCTTCTTTTGCAGCATCCCAGGCCAGGGCTGGTGTCTGGGCTGCCAGTGCACATGGGCAGCTCATGCTGAGCTGTCATCACCCAGTTCCTGATGTTGCTTCTGCTGTTCCTTTGTTCTGCCTTACAAATCTGTATACACAGACATCCACTCCTGCAGTAAATCTGTGCCCATCCAGTCTCAGCATGTAAGAAAAGCAAAGCATCAAGCCCAGGGGTTCTTTAGGAGAGACCCTTTTGACAGTCCCCAGATAGAGTTGTGAGTCTGTGGCACAGCAGAGGCTGCTCACCCTTGTGTGCCAAAGGCTGAGCAGCACTTCACTGAAATCTAAAACTTCATTTTAAACCATTTTCTACTTTCTGTGTGTGAGTTTCTGTAACTTTTTTGACTGGGAACTATAGTGCAGCAGCTCCAAGGCTTTGTGGGCTCTGGCAGGTTCTGGTGTGTCACTATTTAATATTCTTGGGGGAATCTTTCAGGGTTGCAAAGTTTTGAATGATGAATGTCCTGTTTTATGGCAGCTGTGGCATTTAAATCATGAACTGGTAATTCAGAGCTGGTCACATGGAGTGTGTGTAGCTGAGAGGGAGTCTGGGATATTGTCACTATCACTATTTCAGTCTTGGCCTTGTCTGTGAGATCTGATTAAAGTTCTATTTGTGCTTTAATATTTTGGGGTTTTTTTCTGTGTGTTCTAGGTCAGAATGTGAAACGTGAGTCTGGAAGGAAAGTCCAGGCTGGAAACATCACTGCTGCTAAGGTACCACATTCTCATGTCAGGCTACTTTGGTTTAGTGTTGGGTTTTCTTGTTTGTTTTGTGGTTGTGTTTTTTTTGTTTTGTTTTGTGGGGTGTTTTTTTTGTTTGTTTGTGTTTTTTTTTCTTTAAATGTGTCTGCATGTGTCTCTGTGGCTCTCTGTCTCTCTCTCTCTGTCTCTCTCTCTCTGTCTCTCTCTCTCTGTCTCTCTCTCTCTGTCTCTCTCTCTCTGTCTCTCACTCTGTCTCTCTCTCTCTCCCTGTCTGTGTCTGTCTCTGTCTCTGCCTCTCTCTCTAAGAGGCAAAGCTGGATCTTAACCAAGGGTTTCTCAGTCTTTATGACTCCAGAGTAGGAGCAGTATAAGAAAGAGAATTTTCCCTGTTCAGCTCAGGGGTGCAGTGTGACCACATGACCCCCCGACCTTCCTCTGCAGCACCCACAGGTGTGATCATGTTCCCATCTCATTTAGCTACTGATAGAGTTTGGTGCCAAGGCTCTTAGGATCCCTGTGTTCTCCTTTCCACACAGTTCTTAACTTCTGCTGCATCCCAGTAACTGCAGAATTGTTGGGTCACTTATATTTTGCAGTGGCTGCTTATTTTTCATGCAGATTATAGGGTTTTTCAGACTTTTGAACACCCCTCTGTATTGCCTCATTGCTTTTCTTCCTCCTAGACCATTGCTGACATTATCAGAACATGTCTGGGGCCAAGAGCTATGATGAAGGTAAGACCTTGTGGTGAAACACCTGTGCTGCAGCCTGGGAAGCACTGAATAGAGGTTGTAGTTAGTGAAGTGCAAATGTTGCTTCTCTGTTGGTTGCAGATGCTTCTGGACCCCATGGGGGGGATCGTGATGACCAACGATGGCAACGCCATCCTTCGAGAGGTGAGTTGCTCCTCAGGGGTTGTCCTGCTGCACGTGGGAGTCAGTGTCCTCCAGGGACAGTCCCAGAGCTGCCAGGCCCAGTTATTTCATCTTCTGAGAGCCAGCAAGCAATGAGCACTGAGACCAGGTTGGGTCCTTACTGGGGACATGTTAAATACTTCCAACAAACACGCTCCTCAGAAGTGTGTTTGATCCCAGGGTGGTGGGTTTTCATGGAGGTTTTACTGAAGTGATGTCAATTCTCTGGTAATTGTTTTGCATCCAGAATGGTGGGGGTTGGGACCTCTGAAGATCATCCAGTCTAACCCCCTGCCAGAGCAGGATCCCCTACAGTAGATCCCACAGAACACATCCAGATGGGTTGGGAATGTCTCCAGAGAAGGAGACTCCACAGCCTCCCTGGGCAGCCTGTCCCAGGGCTCTGTCACCCTCACAGGAAAGAAGTTTCTCCTTCTGTTTAACTTGACCCTCCTGTGCTCCAGTTTGTGCCCATTGCCCCTTGTCCTGTCACTGGGCACTGCTCAGAAGAGATTGGTCCCACCCTCCTGACACCCCCTGGAGATATTGATAAGGGTTGATGAGATTCCCCCCTTCAGCCTTCTCTTCTCCAGGCTGAACAGCCCCAGCTCTCCCAGCCTTTCCTCACAGGGCAGATGCTCCAGGCCCTTCATCACCCTCGTGTCCCTGTACTAGACTCTCTCCAATAGTTCATTGTCCTTGAACTGGGGAGCCCAGAACTGGACTCAGTTCTCCAGGTGAGGCTTCACCATGGCAGAGCAGAGTGGAAGGAGAACCTCCCTGACCTGCTGGCCACACTCCTCTTGATGTCCCCAGGATGGCACTGGCCCTCTTGGCCACCAGGGCATGTTGCTGGCTCAACTCATTTCTGCCTTCCTGTGCAAGTTAAAATAACATCACAAAAGTCATAATCCCTGAAAAACTGTGGGAAGCCCAACGTTGTGAAATAAAAGGACTTGGTTTTGTTCTCAGAAAGAAAGAAAAACATTAGAAGTAGTTCAGCAGAATGCCTTTGGTTATCCCAAGGTGTGGAATTTGTTCCTCTGAGCCATGTGTGACGTCTCAGCTTTAGTATTTCTGGAATAAAACCTCTCCCCTTGCTCCTGACCAGATCCAGGTCCAGCATCCAGCTGCCAAATCCATGATTGAGATCAGCCGCACCCAGGATGAGGAGGTTGGAGATGGGACCACATCTGTGATCATCCTGGGTAAGGAGGGGGTGACAAGGTCACAGAATCAGAGAGTCTTTAAGGTTGGAAAAGGCCTCTAAGATTATCAGGTCCATCTGTCAGGGTTAAGGCTGAAATTAGCCCTTTTTGCTCGTCAGAGCCTGGTAATTGTGCCTTGGTAAGACAAATATT